TATCTTCAATAACACTCGTCATAATTTAATTTTCGACACTATTTTTTCTCGTTTTGCCTCTCTAACACGGTGTCGCATGAAGATACAATATTGAATAATAGCCCGGAGGGAGGATGAAATGCTGTACAATTTCTTCGCTTAAAGTATACAGGTTCTATTTTTAGTATCTGAAATATTTTAATCCATACATTCAACTATACTCATTATTATTTGGTTTTCGGAACTATTTATTACTTTTCGCAACCCGAACTTCATCGAGTTAAGATACACTTTATATATATATGTATATATATTTACAATTTCCTAAGTATTTTTTGTATATATTTGTATGATATCCACATGCCATTCGAGTTTCGAGGTTAAAGTGGGGAGACCCGAGCACTGTTTTCCACCTATAAATGAACTGTTTGAACCTGAAATTAATTTACAATCTAACCTGAAACTCATTTTCAGTGAGAATATAGATTCCTGCGGCCCTTAAGACTTCAAATGATATGCAAGTGGTGAACATGCGGTACAGTTTCAACACACAACATGTTGAACATAGATGATCTACATTGGTGCAAAAACTGTGGAGCTTGGATGAAAATCTTCTCGGCCCAGCGAGGAAATGGGAAATCCAGCAGTCCGGCTGTAATGCTTGTTATTTGTTCGCGAGTTAAACATTGTCATTAACAGGCACGCTTTATATCGGGGTTTAGAATCGATAATATAAAGAAAATCAAAATCAAATCAAGTAAAAATTTCTATCTGGAATTTTTAAAAATAATTTTATGACTCTTATCAAAAGCGATTTTTAGTTTTGATCATAAGTGATAAAAATCATATCCTTGTCATTATTTTTGATCAAAATTACAAAAATCAACACCAGTAATCATTTTTTAATAATCTTTTTTTAAATCAGAAATTTAAATTTTGTGGGCAACATCTATGATATATTTTCAGTTTGGAGTAGTATAGGGAAAATATTGTAATCAAAAATTAGCAACAGAACATCTGTAATTTCCGGAATCCGTTAGATATTTTGACTTTGCAAAAAAATATACATAGTACAGGCACCGCGCGAATAATCAAAACAATTTCATAAATATAATATTAAAAAATTGTTTTATCTAATTTTTTTATTACATTTTAATCATTATTGTTTGTGTATAACCGTATCACACATTAATCGAAAAAAAATCAAAGATAGATTTAAATTACATTTATTAATCAGACATGATTTTTAAATGAAAAATCAAATATAATTATTTCACGAATTTTCGGAAAAAATATTTATCAATTTCAAACTCTGCTTAATATACTCTCTATATACAAGCCATAGGGCCATTTATAGTATTTGACTGATTTTTTTTTATAAATTTGGTAAACGTCGGTGTCGGTTGATCGTAGTTTTCCACCTTACCACTTAACGAAATTATTAGGTTTAGATACTCCTTCGACCCATAATTTAACTTTTTAATTTACAAATGAATACAGTTTTAGCTTTGATACATCTTTTAGGAGTTATAGGTGAAAAACAAAACAATATCGAAAAAAAATTGACTATTTTTTACATGCCTAAACCTAGTTCAAAAATGCAAGTTAATAAAAAAAATTCACATTTTGCACAATGGATTTCCCATTTCGATCCTCTGCTTAATATACTATCTAACACCAAAAAAATAAAATAAATACATGAACAATGTACCTGTATATATCTACTTAAACCGACAGGTACACATCGCCTACATCTTTATTCCCATTTTTATTATAAATTTTAAGTTATTCACTGCATATTATATTTTCACGTTTTGTAATAAACTCAGGAATATAACAACAGACCGATTAATGATATGGTTGAATCTGACATACTAATTAGGAGGGTATTAAAAAGAGACTGGATGAGATCTCCTTTCCAGAATTAAGAAATGACTGAATGAAGAAGGGAGGAAGTGTTGCTAGATGCCATAATTGGCATTTTCCCATTTTATTTGTTGATTGTTACGCCCATATGTGACATGTGTGAATAACGATCTGAAGTAAACCAAAAATTAATGATACCAAATTCCTCTGTCTCTCAATAAATGAAATTTCATAAATTTAATTAACACGAGCCATGAGTAAGGAGTGACGTTTCCAGGAAGACTTATATAAGCCTTGGATATTAATTTAATTTAAGAGCCTGTTCCAGGAATTGTTAGAATTTTAGAACAAAACTTACTTCATTTGGTACAAAATGAAATCGTACTTTAATAAGATTAACAAGCACGAATTTTGTCATTAGAATAAACATAAAATAAAATTCCATTTTATATATTTTTTTCTTTTATTTTATGTACAATAAATAAACTGCTATTAAAATTATATAAAGTAAAATAATTGTCAACCCTTTTCAATTCATATCCACAACAGTTGACTTAAATTCTGCCATCACTTGTTGGTTTGAAATAAAACAAGTGTTGGTTGCCAGTTCAAATCCTAATATACCCAACATGGCACCATTGGGCGTTGATTTGGAAGCCAAACGTGTAGTTATCTTCTTTTGAAAGTCGCATTTCAAGTTTTTCTTTCATAAATCTTTAAAGAATTTTTTTATTTATCTGAATTTTAATCCTCCACAGTGATGAGAACTAGGGATCAAATTACAGCTCTGGAGTCTGGGCTCTGGTATAAAACTTTGGTCAACGAATGCTGATTTTTATCAACTTTGTCAAAAATAGAGACAGATTACTGTAAACGACTTACCTAAGGGTAAAAATGAGTCCCCTAAGGGAAAAACTTATAGAATCAAAGTTGTATAGCATCAAATCTTGCGTCCATTGAGTACTGAAATTTTTACTTTAGCCAATTATATATTTCGAAATGGGATTTCTCATTTCTTTATGAAATTAGGAATCTTTCGACTCATCGTTTATCAAAATCCTTCGCTGCTGAGAGATGGAAAAGAGGCATATACTGCATGTAACAGATTCCAATCAAAAATAACTCAGTAGAGTAGACACCCATACTGTTGAAATATTGAAAATCACGGTTACCTACATTACCAATTTCTAACCATCGGAAAGTTACCGATTTTGTTCACAATAAGTGACGTACATTAAAATAGTTGCCACTCAGTGGACGCAAAAAAAAAAGTTTTTCCTTGGTTGTCCACGTTATCAATTTTGTTTTTTACATGCCTAAACCTAGTTAAAAAGAAAATTCTCACATATTGCGCAATGGATTTCCCATTTCGATCCTCATGTTACTGGCCTAATATTCATTAAATAAGTCACCATTTTTGAAAGCAGTGGCTGTGGAATGATCTTACTCAGAATAACCTACACATTCCTAATTTACAATGAAACCTTCGTCTGCGCTTGTCTGCCATTCCATTACGTGATTCGTAAGCACAAACTATTGAATAAATCTCATACAACACTAAAGAGAATTCATCAAGAAGAGGCATTACATCATCAAACATATCAACTTAATCTCATATAGACTTTTTACTTGTATTCAAGAGGCTTATGGATTTGTTTTTGAAATCTTTCAACTATATCCTAACAGCATTCTTTGTGTTTTCTCTCTTTTATTTTTAGATTACTTATTAATTTTCATTTAGAAATATTCAATACCACAAGAGACTGGATGGGTACTAACAAGTATTACACCCCCCTGTCTATTTACTTGATCCAGGGTGCCCTGTATTTTTACTTGACCCAGGGTTCCCTATATTTTTACTTGAATAAGTCTATGCCCGGAGGTAAATGACAGCTTGTCCATTTTTCATTAATTAATTTATTACGAAGAATCAAATTTTAATAGCTCAAAGTTATGGAAAATTTGATTCTTAAACAAAACAATAATGTTACATGGTGTCTTTTACCTCCGCAGTACAAATTAAACAAATTTTAAGAGTTAAAAGTTATGAAACATTGGCTCCCCTGAACAAATACAAAAATGGACATGGCATTTTTTACCTCCGGAGTTCAGATATAAGAGTTGATTTTTAAGAAAGAAAATTAAATAAAAAAAAAATCCAATATACATTTCATTTAATGACCTTCATATCCAATTTGTTCTTGACGTATTGTGGTATACATAATCGTTCCTTAAACTTTCCTATCCCTTCAAGCTCCCTTCCTTACAATCTTCATCAATGTGACAGCAATTGGTGTAGAGATAAAGGTACCTTCGTTGTTCCCTATACTCTCTTTACAATCCCTACAATTTATTTTAAATTGATGGCTATTGTTATTATTGTGCTTCTAAAATATTGTGAATCGGAATTTTCGGTTCAAACTATTTTGCGAACCTTCATAGGTAGACTAAAAGCTGAATTAATTTTTAGAATTCTCATTTACTTTTCCCTTAGTATGTGTATGTCGTTTTGTAATTTTCATTGTAAATTTCATTGTAATTTTCATAATACCATATTTTGCAAAATTCCAGTCAGGTACAGTAATTTTAAAGGAACATTAGTCCAGAAATAAACAAAACAGATTATTATTAAGAAAAATATATCATTCTGATAGTAATAAGTTTTATCGTTGTGTATATACTTCTTTATTTTAATTAATTTGTAATAAACTTTAATTATTCTTATGAAACTCCTAAATTTCCAGTAGTTCCACCAATATAAGTAAGTTAACACATATTTGGAATTTAAAAATATCACAATATACTGTTGTATGCACCATGCGTGAGTATAAGAAATGAAAATAATAAGAAGCTAGTAATAATCCTTGCGGTACTCCTGCTCAGGCTGGTAGAAATATATTTTTAAAATTTAAAAAATAGAATTATTTTTAAAATTAGAAAAATAGAATTATTTTTAAAATTAGAAAAAGAAATAGTTTTAGAAATTTCTACAAATTTATGTAAACGAAAATGAGTTTCACCATCAATAATAACTTTTATGATGTTCAGTTTATCATAGAAAGTCCGTTTGTATCTTATTTCGTATCGGTCTGATTTACAATTAATTTTTAATGCCATTATTGATGGCATTATCAAATAGCTGATAACGGGCCAGTTAGGTCACCACTTAGATGGGTGCAGTGCTTAACTGTTGTTTAAGTTGTGATAGTTGTAAACTGACACTAATCTGGTACTTTTATTTCCAGATGTTTTTAGACCAAATGAAACTAGAAATACATCAATCATAAGAATAGTTATTTTATTGGTTTTTCAAAATAAGGAGAAAGGGATAAATAATGAAACTGTAGATATTGTTTTGGTTTTTGTGAGGCCTTACCTCAATTTATTTTTGCTCGGTAAAAATTAAAAAAGAAACTAGAACGGATCGGTAACAAAATATTTAACCAGGAGCTCCTGACGTGGACTCTCCAGGAGATCGTGTTTCACAGCTGTTGACCATTTAGAGGAGGATGGAGTGCCTGAGGACTGGGACGTGGAGAGGAGCGATGGGAGCGATGGCGATGGGAGCGGTGTAGGCGATGGAGTGGGAGAGGAGGGGGTGGGCGGCGATGAGGGACCTCTTGTACCTGTGGCCGGCGGCCTGGTGGGCGGCCAAGTGAGCGGCCTTAGCGGCGGCTACCTCAGGGGTGTCAGCGGGAAGGCCAGAGGGGGCGGCGTTCCAGGCTGGAGCTGGAGCGGCGTTCCATGAGTGAGCTGGGGCGGCGTTCCAGGCTGGAGCTGGAGCGGCGTTCCAAGCTGGAGCTGGAGCAGCGTTCCAAGCGGGAGCAGGGGCGGCGTTCCAAGCTGGGGCTGGAACTGGAGCACCAGCACGAGCGGCGAGGGCAAGGTGGTGGGCACGCTCAGCCTGGACCTCGGGGGTGTCCTGGACTGGGAGGGGAGCGCCGTTGGCGTCGAAGCCTGGGGGGAGGGCCTGAGGTCCGTGCCAGCTTCCGCTGTTGTAGGATGGGGTTGGGTTGTAGGCACCGCTGTTGTCGTAGGATGGGTTGTAGGCGCCGCTGTTGTCGTAAGATGGGTTGTAGGCGCCATTGTCGTAGGCACCCTGTGGGGAGCCTCCGACCTTAGCGAGGGCAGCGAAGTGGGCGGCCTTGGCGGCGGCTACCTCGGGGGTGTCAGCGGGAACGCCTGCGGCAGCGGGGGCGCCATAGCTGCAACATCAAAGAAAACCATTCATAAAATATATTCAATTCATAAATAATTATTCGGCAATTAGAATGTAATATTGCTGCAGAGCCTAGATATTCTGGACAAATCGTTGTGGGAGGGGGTTTTACCCACACTTCCGAACTTTGTTCGATTTACGCATGTTAATTTTGTTGCTTTTTTTAAACCTTTCTTTTCGGACTACTGCTTCATTCGTACACCTAATTGATAGTGTTGAATTAATTTTAAGTGCAATAGTCTGAGAAGAATAAGTATAGTAATTCAATTAATATTTTTTAAACAATAGGATGCCATAAATTTTTTTTTTTTTTTGCAACCATGGCATATTTTTTCAAAGAAGGCTATTGATACTATTTATAGGAGAGACGGAGCTCGCTACATAAGGATTTCCCCTTAACAAGCGGATGTGTCCGTCAGTTGATGGGGCTTATGATGGGCCCCGTCTAGAATCACAGTGGGTAGAAGGTCTACTTTTAAGCATTAAACTGTTATAAGAGTGTTATTTAAGGATATTACGAATTAATGAATAAATATTATATTATGTTATTATACATACCCGTGAGCAGCGGGAGCTGGGACGTGTCCTCCGGCAGCAGCCAATGCAGAAAGGTGGGCAGCCCTAGCCGCAGCGACCTCTGGGGTCTCTTGGACTCCAGCATGGCCGTACTGGGCCATGGCGGCACCTACCAAAGCAAGAAACACGATCTGGAAGCAAAAATATTCTGTTACTATGATAGTTCAAAAAAAGGAATCCACAACATTTATTTAACATCCTCATAGACATGTTATCCTCATAGATGGTAAACATCGTGTAAAAGTGTAAATCATTCAATGCTCTATAGATGATTTGTAATTTAAATTATATGACTTTGATTCAACATAACGGAATGACGGAGTCACGTTGATTAGACAGAGGAATTAATTTTAGTTACACAGCTCCTTGCTAGCAACCTCCGGTTGGACCAGGTCCACAACCTGTTCCGCCAAGGGCAACCCCGACACATTACAATCGTTGCAAGGACAGTCGTCAACCACGCCCATTTACACACCGCTATTTCCACTAGCCATCCAGGAAGCTTTCTCGTTTTTATTTCTCATTTATTTCATTACGCGGTCTATAACGAAGGTCGTTCTTTCTTTGTGCTGATTTGCACTCCTCGGGTGGATGGCAGGTTGTGTGTTTACTGCCCTACGAGTATTGGAAGCGAGTCTCTTTAAGTCCTTGAGTAACATTCTTGTCTCTACGTGACTCATAAAACAGAAAAATATAGAAAATTGATGTAGCCCTTGTACGTCTTTCGTGGTCCAAAAGCATTCCGACTTGAATTTATAATTATTTTGTTACGATAGTCATACAAATATGATCGGTGAAATATGACTAAGTGCTTCTATCAATTAATAATACAAATAATAATCACACTATAGTAACCAGTTTGGACTTTTAAGCAGTTTTGAATTAAGTAACGCCGCTCCCCAACGAGTACTTGAGACAACTACACGAAAATGATCTTTATCCAGAACTATGTTGTTTAAGTCAACATTTATATCTCAAGCAAATAAGTCCCATAATTAAAGCCAATTAATGTCTGAATATATATTCGTTTTTCAAAAATACGGTGCATAAATGAGTTCAAGTGATTAGTACATTCGATGAACCAAACATTAAAAAAAAAAGAAAAGAAAATCGACAGAAAGCGTTTTGATGAACTTATTCAAACCTTTTCTAACCAAGTTTTCATGAACAAGTAGTGTTAAAATTTTTTTACGAAAGTTGACAGTAATTCAGCTAAACGATATTTTCAGTTTTTCTTACTGATGTGTTTTATGCTCTACCCGAATAAGAAATCATGAAAAGATGAATAAGAAACTATATTATTGACCGAGGGAAAACGTCTTCTCTATTAAATTGATCCCAATATCCTTAAAAGTTTGTCTCTGCGTTTTATTTATAGTTATTGCAAACGATGCTTATTGATTTTTATGGTTAGGACTCTTTTGTCTTTTCTGGTTATTTTAGGGCTTAGCGTCATGTTATGAAGCCTTAAGGCTTCTTGAACAAACGGTTTATGTAATGAAAAAAGAATTGTTCAAATAGAGCTTGTAGTTCCTGAAGTTAACCCGTTTGAAAGAACTTTCCACCTTTATGTAGAAACGTAAGGTGGAAATATTCCATTGCTAAATTGCAAACTTATAACTGCAATAGACCATTTTTTGGAGGAATATCAAACATTTAAACTTCGCTCAAAATTTTGCTTTTAATTTTTTTTCTTTATCACATATCTGTACAGGAGTTGAGGAATTCTAAGCCGATTAATAGTCCTGTCCCTTCTATTTAACGGGGTTTCAACTCCTGTTACAACGTAAAATTAGCGTAAACTTTTCGCTTATGAACTTTGTGCTAGGGGTCAGTTTGACTAAATCAATGAGATATTTTGAAGTTACTAAATACCATGCTTTATATATAAGATGAAGTACATAAACCGTATCAGATATATATATTTTGAATATTATTTATTGATCGATCGTTAATGAGACACTAATTTTATTAATTTGTTATTACAGTTATGTTGACGAATGCGATAAAGATGATGTCTATTTATTAAAATATATTATGTGGGAGTTAATCGGGTAAAGAAGAATCAGAGGTTTATTTTTAAACAGTTTTGGCAAATGAAGAATGGTATAAAAAAAAAAAAAAGATTTAATTTTTCATTGCTCATGGAGTGTATTATAAATAAGGGAATTTAATGAAATTATAGTTTTCTATCAAGTTGTGCTGATATTGGACGAATAAAAAAATTGTTTTTAGGCAAATCATATATGATTAAGTGTTAATATCTAATATCTAATATCGATCTAGGGCGAATATCGAAGAAAACATGATGAAGTGATCCTTACGGTAAGAGAAAATGTAATTTCCAATATTTTCAAGATTAGTCCTGGATTTCGACAGACTCGTTTTTTATTTTAGAATAACGTGAAGGGACTTGAAACTAATCGAAAAGCGGGATTGTAGTATCCCTCAGGGTCAGAAAGATGACTCACTCAAGGAACGAATAAGTAATTCGCCCATGAAAGGGCAGGGACCCGAGTGCGTGGGCGTGAAGGCTGCTGGAAGCAGGGACTGGAGATTTCCAACACTCAAAGGAAGTTTCCAGGCCAGTTGTCCAATCCAATTTATCGGTGGGGTTGCCTTAGGTCAGTTATACATCACACTCCCAGGAAAAAGCTTTTCCATTCCGCCTTTGGTTCTGTTTTTTGGGATAAATTTATTATCTTAGCCGGTTTGGTCTTTTATTTTCAAAAGCTAGAAATTCTGAGGAGTGCTGGGGTTTCATTTAGTAAATTGGAAAAACAAAATTCTTTGTAATTTATTTAATTTGGGAAATAAAGCTTATAACGTAAAAGCTATCTAAGTTATATAAGGATAAATAAGATTTTAGGGTTTTTTATTTCCTCAGCAAAATTGATTTTCTTTTCTTTATTGTTCTTAACACAACTTATTTTCGAGATTGTGATAACAACAATATGATAATATGTTAAAATTTTAAAACCAAGCCTTATCAGTTTAGATAGAAACAGTCTTTTACCATTTCACGAATGGCTTTAATTTTTAGTATTTTAATTGATTAATTTAATTTTTATTATTATTTTTATACAAAATTGAGAAAAATGTATACCAATTTCGTATATAACCATAAGTAAACCGAATGTAAAACAGATAAGAGTTATATTTGAGGTCCGCGCAATGAAATTTAATAGCGAATATATCATTAAATCGAAATGAATTATAAACCATCAGAAAAATATCGAGTATACGTCAGGATTACTTACAATTAAATAAAAAACTAAAAAAATCTTGATCAAACCAAAAAAAAAGTAAAATTAATGATGAACCGAAAATAAAAATTAATTTGCATTTTGATCCATCGAAACATTTTTTTTTTTCGATTTTAAATTTATTTTATTAAATTTTTTGTTTGATGGAGTAGTTCGCGATTCTGTAGTGCATCTATTTAGAAGGTATTAATTATAAATTTAGAAAAGTTTATTTTTGAGTGGGTTTTTATTTTTTTGCGTATAAACGTCATAAAAAATATTTAATATTTAACACATTTTTCATGTTCATTTTCATTAAAATTTCCGTGAAAAGTAAACTATATGAAAGTTACAAACGAGAAAAAATAATTGATTTTCTTTTAATAAGATGTATACACTTCTCTCATTACTTTTGAATCATTTTTGAAGGAAGAATTGAATTTTAACATCATCGACAGATCTTGAAATAATCATTGAATTGGTTCCACTATACCCAATAGTCATTATGACCAAGATCATTAATGACTTCACAAATTAGGACGCTAGTTGCCTATCTAATGACATACAGATCGTGGGGTCGTATTCGGTCATTACCGATCACTGATCGCTCCAGGAAATCACCACTCTATGAGGCCAAGTGACCTTTCTTAAGACGACATTGACAATAAATTGTCCTAGGTTTCATGGTTAGATTATCGTAGTGTCGTTGGTAAACTGGGTTTGTACGATTTGAAAGCACATTTCAAACCAACATTAAAAAGAAAAATACTGATCAAGTGGAGTTAATCTGTGAAAATTCAACATTTTTTTCAGGATATACAATATTATATATTGTATTCAATTTATTTATTTGCCTGATATGGATGTGATCAGTCACAAACTTTATAAATTTAATATTTATATGAATAGAACGGTGTTTTTCTTTTGAAATTTGAAAATTTTCTTTAAGGATCCCCTTTATAATATTATAAAAATTGATTTAATGACATGTCATGCTTGATTCTATGTTATCATAACCCAAGTAATTTCTGTTTTGATAAAAGTGTCAAATAAAATATTTGATCGTATCAGAATTATATAATAGAATATTAATAACATGCTTCTTAATTATATATAAATATTAAGATATTCAAGTGTTATATATAATATTCATGCTGTATATATAAAATTAATATTAAAAAAAAATTAAGACTTATTAGATTTTCCAGTGTTTGGTAAGTGAGAGATTTCGTATGTTAGCAGAGTTAGCGTGAATAATATTACTAATAAATTATTAAATTATATTAACAAATATATATTGGACTGTAAATATTAATGATGCTGTTAATGATACATTTTCTTTGAGTGGTTGTTAGTAATATCAAGATGGAGAAGGGTGAGTTATAGAATGATTAGAGGCATTAAAAGAGCTGTTTAAAAATAAAATTAAGTAATTTTTTTTTTAAATTAGTGGGGATGAAGCTACAGTAATATTTTTGAATGAGTTAATTTTGCTTTAAGGGGGTGGCTTTTTTTTTTCTCTAAGGGTTGAATGAGAGTTATGAATTTTGAATTTAAGGTTCCTTACCAAACCGTTCATGATGGACCTCCTGTATTCAGCTGAAGCCGGTAGGACTGTTCTGATGGAAAGGTCCAAGCGAGAGGTATATATACCGGCCCGTGTAAGATTGTCCCCACTCTGGTCTCCTTCAATACCGCACTCCATTGGGGCATTTCTTGCTTGTCCACACTTCCCAAACTCTTTCCTGTTCAATGTCGGAAATAATTATCACCGGGGGAGACATAAGGACAGCGTGGGCCAAGGATCGAATTAGCAAGATTCAAAATCGGCTATGTCTATTTTCGTGGTAAGTGAAGAAATCTCCACTTATTATTTCTTAAGTTTTGGGCTCTACCAAACCATAAAATTCCTACCATATCCTTACAACCCAAAATCCTTCGTAGAATTCTTAATTCGCCATATTTTGTCACAAGTATTCATGAAGAACTTAATGTTCTATATGTCGCTGATTTAGCCCAAGCAAGATATATATTTTTTCCTGCCAAACTCCAGTACATGTTAAGATTGTAGAGATTCATATTTTCCAGCACTCAGTAACTACGGATTTTAGTGTATAAGATATCAAATGAAAAACAATTTCGTGGTGAAGTGACAAATCCAAACTTCAAAACGCAATAACTTATAAAAACTTCAATAAAAATAAAATAAAAATAAATGAAAAAATTGTAAGGTTCAGATCTCAGATTGTTGGAAATGCGGTGGACATGTCAATACTGAAATGTTTCATTTTCCAAATTAATTGTAATTTTTGCCGGAATCCTCTTAGGCGCTGTGGTTGGTTAAGGGATGCTTATCACTTGTTTAAGTTTTAAAATATTGCTAGTTATGATTTTCATCGAATAATTTAAAACTTATTGAAAACGTAAATAGAGGAGAAATGATCGCTTGGGTACTTTGTATAATGTGAAAGGAATCTTAATATTAAATATTAAGGATTTTTATTATTTTAAATTAATAGAATTTGAGTTCTACCAATGGGCAGTTTCAATGTTGTACATGTCATATTACCAATTTCACATTTACTTATTGTATTTTCAATGTAATACAGTTGTAAATTCCATTAAAATAATAAAAAATTGATAGAAAAATGTCTAGGTATTCGCTATATTCGCAGTAAAAGACTTCTATGCCCTTCTTACAAAGAAAATCATAACGGATTAGCATCTGTTTCAGGGATAGCATTGTTTTATTGCCTTACTACTAAATTATAGGGATATTTTCTAGTAGAACAGGATGATTAATTACTAATTGTAAGTAAATTGTTTTTACTTACTTGTCATTAATGACTTTATTGCATTGACTTTAACAGTCGTGGTAAACTAAGAAGATGTACTTCTGAATGTGTGCGTTGAGTAAATTATCTTCATAATATTACATTGGATATACGAATAATAATATTTTGTTGATTCTGCTTATACGTCGGATGAATTTAGGAAGAGGATAGATGTCTAATGTGAGACTTTTCGCTGGGATATACTAGTTTGATTTTTACACTAAAATTAATAATTATGATTGATTAATTATTAATTAATTATAGTTGATTAATTTATATAATTGAAATATTTTTATTATATTTCCACCTCATCACTAAAGTTGCACCACCTAGATGCCAGTACCAGTATTGCAATAGTGTCCTGTCCATAAGATTGTCCGTTTTATAGTCGTAAAATAAATGACTTAGAAATATCACAAAATATATCACTAGCCTTAGGAAACGACAGCAATAGAACTGACAAAATTATAACATTTCTAACAAGGATAAATTTAATAAAAGTGCTATAACAATAATTACTATTTATCTTTTCCTCTTATTTAATTAAGCAATATATATCCTCAACGTTCCTTACTTTGTTACAAATAAAATCATCCATAAAGACTTTAATGTTCTATTTGTTTCCTACATGGATTTAGTCCAATCCAGATACCTATCCTTCCATAACAAATTTCAGAACTATCCGAACTCTCTCGTTTCAAACCTTGCTTTCTCATAGATCCCTGATAACCCTCCGAGGTGTCTGAAAAGAAGGTGGCCTCGTGATCTCCCTGTGTAAATTTATTATTTGAGTGCTATCAGTATGTAGTTTCTCAACAAGCGATTTCATGTTGTTATATTCCTGTGTGCATATTTACTAGTTCTATTTTTTTATAATACAGTTGCAAATATCTATAAAAAAATAAAAAAATAGGTAATATATAGATATTAATTGTTTTCTCCCTTGTTTTATTTATTTACTATTCATAGTTATTACTCACTTATAATTTTTTTTTATATGTATATTTTTTATCTATTATTTAAAAAAAAAAATTTATTATTTTTTTATCCTCATTAAACATTTTATGGATAAGGCGCTGATGGCCTAGATGTTTTGCGCATACAACATCAAAACAACCAACCAACCATCTCCAAAACTTTGTCCACTGGTTAAAATTAGAAAACAATATGAAACAAAAGTTTATATACATTCTTATTATTATTTATACATATCAGGGATGCTACATATCATATATCCTGTTAGTCACGGGTAAGACAAACTGGCAAGACTTGATCAAATTTAATTAGAATTAGGTTTACTTTTTTGTTGTTAAAGTGCTACCAATGGGTAGTTTCTCTTCATGTTGTACATTTCATTTTAAAAATTCAAATTTAATTTATAAATTAATTTAATTTATAAATTTCAAAAATGTATTTATAAAAAAATGATTCTAGCGACACTAACAATTTGTATATATTTATTTAATTCCTTTATTTTCTTAAGTAAAAATGAATACGTTCTTAATTTTAAGGTTTCGTTTTTACACGGTTTAACCTGAATATAATTCACTGAATAAAGACCAACTAGGAATTTGTACATTATTAATTTTGTAAGATGAAGAAGTACTTGATATTTCGTGGATTTTTAAAATAACAAGTACTTTTTCTCAAGATATCTTTCTGCTTTCGTAGACTAACATTTTAATATAATTTTGATAGAACTTTAGGAAAAGCTCTATCACCTTTGCTTAGCGTGATATTGTATTTGCGTGTGACGTTTGGAACAAATCCTCTATACTTTAACTACTTTATATAATAAAAAAAAATAAAACTAAATAACATCGATATTCATGGCTGCTCTTGAAAAAATAATTTATAAAATTTAAAAAAAAAATTAGGAATATAAAAATATATATATCAATTTACTAATATACAAATACAGTTATCAATCGTAATACAAACATAATTTTGCTAGAAATAAATAATATTAAACGTTTCTCAACTCCATCAAAATCATTTAATATAAATATTATTTATTTGATTTTAAAAGTTTGTTTCGGGTACCATAAGTATTTTCAACTAATTACTTAATTTTATAGATATTTTCATATTTAATTCGGTTACACACATGAGTCTCTCGGACGTTCATAAAAAAAATAAAAAAACTTTTCCGAGTCTTCCTTTTATTTACCAATGAGGTTAATAGATACGAATTTTATTTTATTTTTTGTTTAACTAACCGTATTACAAACCTGCAGCTAATTTTCTTATCGCTGTAAAAAGATAAGATTTTACGATCCGTTAAGGTTGAATGTTCCAGAGTTTAAAATTACTGTCTTTTTATTTTCGTTGGCTCTTTTTAATTTTTACGATTCGGTTTTCTTAATTAATTTTTTTTCTTTATTTGTAATCACCTCTACCCTAGAGGGTAATTGGCGGCTAGTTTTCTATACTCGATTGTAATATTTCGTCTCTATCTAGTATCGGAATAGAGTGGTGACTCCATCTTCGTTGTCTCTTAATATTTCTTTCATTGTTATTGGTAGTTTCAATTTTTGCTGAATGTTGTTGAACTCGTGGCACTCTACTAACAGATGTTTTACTGACTGCTGTTTATTGTCACACTTTTGGCACGTGGGTGCTTCTAGACCTCTGAGAAGGTACCCTTGAGTAAACAGGCAGTGACCGATTCATATTCTACACAATATGGTCTCTTCTCTTCTGGATATTCTTGTGCTACAAGCCCACTTGTTGCAGTCAGTTTTTATTTCTAATAATTTTGACTGTTTAGATTGTCATTGGAATTTGATATCCAATGGAGGGCCTCCATGATCGTAGTAGCTTCTCCAGTAAATATGGAGCTCTCTCTTCATTAATTTACCTATCTTTAAGGTAAATTAATTTTATGTATATTTTATACTAAACGAGAGAAATGTATTTCATAAAACTTTCGTGATATAGAGGAGTTAATCTTGATTAACATAAATTGTCGAAAAAAAGTCTATTGGAAATTGTATTTCCTACTGATAAAATTTGAAAATTCAAACCTTCCAAAAGATGCTGATATAGTTTTGTTCGATGCAGTTTTCGGTGTCTACATCAATAATTGATTTAAAACTTATTTTCTCTTTATTCGTGTCACATTTTTCTTCCGAATACAGTCAACGCCGGTCGTATTTCTGAGACAACATGGAAAATCTTAGTGTATGGGAGTTTTTATATTGGTTTCATTGTTATTTATGATATTTAATTTTTTTTTAAAGACTACCCGAGCATATTTTTATTCTAATCGTCTCAAACATGGTAACAAATCACAATTTATTCTACCCTATCAGCCTTTCTTCAACGGATCATTCCCTAAACGACCCCAAAAAAAAAAAATTCCGCTATAACTCCACCAAGCCTTACCCCCATTGTATTGCCTTCAATTTTATTCATTATACCTACACATTTAAGCCTCATATTAGGGTCAAGAAAGTGTACAAATTTACTTTGACATTGTAAACAAGCTATATTATTTTAAAAAGTGATGTCAACCAACTTGGTGGAGGATGTATGAGAGATCGTGCAATCATCACTATAAATCATTTATATTTTTGCAATAAAAATATATGTATTATTTCTTGATACCTGACGTTTGTGGTCGACTTCTCTGAAGCATTAGCTTCCAGGTTTGTAACTGATTAAATAAAAAAAAGTTAATTTTTAATTGTATATAAAAGAGTTGTTTAAACTTTTATTTAATAACTGCGTTTTCGCATCTATAAATAAGGTTGAAACGTGATTAAATGTTTAGTTCCATCAAAAATGTACTTGTTTATTTTTTGCAAAAAAAAGACGATATATTAAATTGAAATTCAATTCCGTTCATTTAGCCAAACATTTCAAAACC